ACACACACACACACACAGCCCCTGAGAAAGGTTAGTGTCATCCTGCTGCTAACCTGTAACCCCTGGCAACAGGGGAGAACAGCATCCTGCTGCCTTCACATCATACAAGAATAATTATTATTTATATATTATTATTATTATTTTCTACTGATTGGTGGGTTTTAGTTTGTGGTACTTTTAAATAGACAGCTTACACTGGGTGTAGTGTGTGATGTGAATGCAGCATTGTGCTGTCCTAGAAGGCTTAGTGCTGTGTAACACACACCACCACTTTCCACACTACTCTTTCTTTGACAGCTGAACAAAATCTGCTCCGGTCCTGGTCCATCAGTAGGAAATGACATCATGTCCCAGGCCTGTCTGGTTTACACATGGCACAGGGTTTGCCAAGAATCTAGTGTTGTACCGTGAGCTCAGGTCCCGTCTCTAGAAGGTGCGACTGGTGTCAGGCAGGCAGTGCGAGGGTCAGCCGGGTTGGTCTTAGCACTGCTAAAGGGTGGCAAGTACCCTGAGGAAGGAGATAAGGAGGACGCAGAACGACTGTCCGACGCCAAAAACAAGAGCCTCCAAAGAGATCATCTTCTTTCCTGCGGCCTTGTACACACCCGCTATGGCTGCACCTTGAAAAAAGAAAGAACGTTTTCCACAGGGATGGGTGAGTACACCTTCATATGTAACTGTTCAACCAACTAAATTCTCTGTATTCGTCCTCAGAAAATGTTCTAATCTTTGTCCTCACTGGGGTCTATAAACTGCAAGAGGCTGCAATAGTTTAGAACCTTCTGTAGTCAAAAACAGTTACACCTGATATTCACTAAGATATTTTAACAAAAAAAAAAAAAAACTGTTTCTACAGATTACATCAAAACTTTTAGGTAACACCAACTCAAATTTGTTTTTTTGTTTTTTTACAGTACAAATAATATGCAGCAAAGGTCCACCGGTTGGACCCGAACCCTGGGCTGCTGCAGCAGTAAGGACTCAGACCTGGCACATCGGGCACCAGCTCCACCTGGTGAGCTCTTTGGGCGCCCCCTTGTGCATTTAATCAACATATTAGTCTGCTACAATCTTATATTTATTGCATAGTGAGCATGATGTGCACAAAAGCATCTTTGGGGATGAATTAAGTTCTGATTTGCCTCATTTTACCATGTCATTTAGACAAAATATAAGTATTGGGTAGGACTTGATCAAAAGGATGAGGGCCAAAAAAAACTAAAAGAAAAGAAAAAACAACTTACTCGTGAGGACTCCCCCACAAACTGGTCCCACGATGCCCATGAGGAGGATGGCAATGGGCATAAATCGGGCCATCTTGTGCTGGCGCAGCGTGGCGAGGGCGAGCAGAGCCGCAGGCAGGTGGAACACCAGAGAGGAGACCGCTGCCCACAGAAACACTCCATACCACATCTCTGGGGACACACACACACACACACACAGACACATTGTCCCACATCACTTCCTGCCAATCAAAGCACAAATGGTGTAGAGTCCCAACCACACTAAAGCTATTTAATAAGACCATTCAATGGTTTATTAATGAGCCCCACGCCCTTTATCTCCTCTATGGAGCACAGACGTTTTGCAAATGCACAAGTGACAAATGAAAGAAAAATGACCAACTAGGAGTAAAGTATTACAGAGAAAGAATAAACAGATGCTTCCATACAGGTGATGAGGGCTCACTGTATGATCTCAGCCCAACTCAACACCTATGAGAACGCTCTCCACTACGTCATCTAAACACCAAATGAGACAACAATATCTTTTGGAAGAACGGTAGAGTTCCACACTTAAAATAGCTAAAAACAATGCAATGCTTAGACAACTAAGACAGAAACTAAAGTCCCAGGTTAAGTAAGGACAGTCCCAAAGTATTCCAGAACAAGTCATAATATTTCATCTCTTGCTCATCACATTTCAACATGTACACACCAAACACAGCAGCAGTCACAACACTAGATTAATTCAATCATGAATGCTTTAGAATATTTGCTTTCATTATTTTCTAATACTTAGCCTGTGGTAGTACATGAATAGCCTTGACTAAGATAATTCAGTACACCAGTCTGGGTCAGACCTCTGATTGTCATAGTTTTTGCTATTTGATATATGGACTGATTTGCTCAGAAGTTCAGACATTAATTAGAACAACAATACATTAACCAATAATGCAGATAATAAACATTCTGTGTTCAAGCTGCAATGGTGATTGCAAATACTGGAAACTATCATTGAAGTGTAATGCATCCTTTAAGACAGAGCAAGGCACAGGTTAAGATAAGGGCTGCAACTAATGATTATTTTTGATTATTGATTAATCGGCCAATAATTTCCACAGTGACTTGTTTAGTCTATGAAATGTCAAACGATTGTGTATAATGCCCACCAGTTTCCCAGAGCCCAAGGTTACATCTAAAAGATAACTTCTTTTGTTCAACCAACAATGCAAAATCCAAAGATTTACGGTCATATGAAGAAGGAAAACAGTACATTAAAAAGCTTGAAAAAAATATTTTTTCAGAAACGTACACCCCATGAAATGTTTTAGTACACTATGAAGGATCCCATGAGCAGCACAAAACATTTTGGGTAAAAATGAAAACTGCACTGTGA